ACTGACCCGATGAGCGCGTAGACGACACCGTCGACGACATACTACTGGAGCCACTGGTTGTCGATCGCGACCACGCGTTTGACGGCACAAATTGCTCGGCTTTTGGATTCAAATTGCTTTCGACTGAATCGACTGACGGCCAGTTGGCGTTAGAGAAGGGAGTCTTTTCGTAAGGATTAAAGATGTGATCTTTGCTCTCACGGACCACAGAATTGGCCGACGATATGGCGGCCGAAGCCATCTCTTGCTGTCTGGTGCGCGACTGCTGTGCCTGAGAGCGTCCCCTCACTTGTTGGCCCTCATAAGTGGTCAAAGGGCTGAGATTTCCATCCGTGAGCAAACTTTTGATCAGTTTATTGCTTCCGTGACCATTGTTTACGGCATAGATCAGAGCGTTAGCGCCGCTCACGTCAGACAATTCCTTGTCGGCGTTGCCGTAGTTAATGAGGGCATCAATACATCGGGTGTGACCATTGCATGCGGCCATCATTAGCGCAGTTCTTCCGATCGAGTCCTGAAAGTTGACGTTAACGTTGTGTCGCACCAAAAGCCTAATGATATTGAAGTGGCCATAGTTTGCCGCATACATCAGTGCAGTCCAACCAGACTTGTTAACCGCATTCACATCCCTATCAATACACATGTATTCTGTATTTTACATATACTTATTAATTATTTAGTGAAACTCACTCTAAATTGTTGCTCAAAATGCGATCCACAGCTGAATAATCTCCAATACTGGTGGCCGACACCAAGTCTTGCGTTTTCGACATTGACTCCATTGTTTGGCTTAAAATTTGTTGTGAATAATTGTATATCAAATAAAATTAAAACTAAAATTCAATTAAGAAAATGTCGTTTTGTTAAAATATAAAACTCAAAGAATGATTGAATAAAAACTGAAATAAAAACGATTTGAATGAAAGAGTCGAAAGACACTAATCAGTGGTTCTCGTCGTTCTGATCGATCAGAAACTTCTGTTTGACTTTTTGTTAATTTTTTGAGTTAAAGTTTAGGAAATTTATTTTCAATTGAAGTCATTTCATTGGCTATAAGACTACAACCATAGCAAAGGTGTGTATTATTTAGAATATTATTAAACTTTTCATTGAATCAATGATTTCAAATCATAGTTTGAATTATTTGATAGGCTTTGTGTCAAACGCAACGATTCAAGTGCTGAACATTTTGGACGATCTGTTGTATCGATTGAAGTCTATTTAGAGATTGAATTTATGATTATTTATAAGTTTATCAAAAGTTTCCATTAAATATAACTTACTTTGCAATCCATTGAAGTTTCAGTCATTCGTTGAATACTAGACTTGAGTGAAGTATTTGTCGCCAAATTCTTAGTCACAACGAAATTAAGCTTTTGATAAACGACATAAAACGTGATCTTTTGCTTTCAATTCTCTCATTTGAGATACTATTACATAAAATATTACGGATTGAACACAAATCCATTGTTAACTAAACATTTTTTGCATTTAATGGATTCGTTTTGGCTGTTTTTGCAACACAAATGGCATCAATTGTACACTTAATTGTATCATTTCTTTTAATTTTTAATATTTTTAATTTATGAAAAAATTTTCTAAAATCACTTTTGGGATAATTATCTAAACTATCGCACATTTTATCAATTAAATTGACTTTCTGTACATTCAGTAAACTATTTGAAATAAAATTTTAAAACTTATAAATAAAAACTTTTTATTTGTGACTTTTGTTGAATTTGTGTAACGATTGAAAAATATATGTTTGAAAATACAATATTTATAAATTTCTTTATATAAAATAAACTGAAATAAAAATATCCAATAAATATAAATTGTGTGAAATGTTTTGTGAGTGAATACGACATTAAAAACAAATAAAATGATATAAAATTTAATCCAAAGCAATAAGAAGTTCATCAAACTCTTCGATACGATAGGGTTTTACTGTGTCTGAGTTCCAAATACGGATCCCATTGAGAGCGCGGCTGATATGTTGGGCCCACTCTTGGCTCACCTCCTTATTTTCAGCGCTCATCAAATGTCTGCAAATCATTAAAAAAAACAATTCATTAAAATAAACGTTAAATGATTTAAAAGCAAAAACACTTACTTTTTGAGATGGTTTGGAGGAATGGATTCGCCTTCGGAAGCGTTCGCAACGGTTATCAGTGCGATAGAGTTGGGACGCATTGAGGTCTGGCGAACGACTCCTACAATCGGATTAATACACTCCTCGAGGTTTATGGAGCCGAGCGCTGATTTGGAGGCCACGTCTTCGGGGAACCGCCAGAACCCCAATTGATGGCCTTTAAGGACAACCCATCGAAGGTTCCATCGGATGCCAGAGGCGTCGCAAACATCGAGAAGGCCCTCCTTATAGTAGTTGTGTTCAACCGTTAGTTCAGTCTTCATATTAATGACGCCTTCGAGCGGAGAATTGAACGAAAAGTTTTCTAATTTAAACGATTTCTTATAATAATTAGAGATATTTATATTGAAAATGCCGTTCAATTGGAAACTAGTGCTGAGCACAGCGTTGGGTCCGCCGGGACTGCGAACACTCGGCGACTTCATTGTCGACTTGTGCTTCTTCGGGGTCTTCTTCGGGGTCTTCTTAATCTGTGTCTTCATTGTAATCAAGTCATAGATGTGGACAATGACTGAAAAATCACTGTTCAGTTCAGGCAAACGGACGCCAAACTCAAAATCTAAGAAACCGTTTTTGAGGTCTTTGTCGGTATTCAATACATTTGTGACGAAAACATTGGCCCCACTGTAGACAATGCAGATAAAGTGGTGCATTTCTGGAACTAATCAATCATTATATGTAAGTAATTGTTCAATTAATTCATTAATAGAGAGTCTACCGGTTTGCTTAGCGCGCGCCACCAGAAAGTCGGCCTTTAGAGGGACTCTAAGATTGGTGAGAGTGAGGGAACCTTTGGTCGACTCCTCTTCCAAATTCATTTTACTCTTCAGTTTTTGAATTTCATTGAGAAACGCGATTCGTTTTTGTCCTATAATTATACAAAACATTTAGTAATCAAATAATTAAAGTCTATAATAAACACTTACCGAAGACGAGGAGAACTTTCTCCGCTTCGACGTGTCGTTCCGATCCTTTTAACTCGGTTTCAAGACATAGAGTAAGCATTTTACTCGCCTGACTTTCCTGGTCGGTCGTATTTTGGACCTTTTGTTGCAAGTCATCGATTTGCTTCTGAATCTGTCGATTCCTTTCATTAACCACTAAAATATCTGTTTTCTGTTCGATGGCTTCATTTGCTTTAATGGGACGCTTCAGTAGTTCCAGTTCTTGTTGACGACTTTCGCGCTCTTTCTTGTATGCGTTGGCAATCGTTGTCTCCGGACCGAAGAGTTTCACTCCCATAAGTTGTCTCACGTTTGGTTCGCCGCTCATCACCGGTGCGTCACGTTTATGGCCCGAGTATTGTTTGCTTTTAGCCTCGTTTTCCTCTTCGATGGCCTTTTCAAACAATTCATTCTTCGCTTTCAGTGACAAAGTCTCCGGTTTTGTGGTTTCGGGCTTTTGTCCGCTCCAAAATTGTTTGCGAACGGCCGACACATTGGGCGAGGCGTTCACTACTGGAACCGCTCTTTTATCGTTGAGAAGAAGACGCTTCTTCGGCGGCGTATCGTTGACACCATTCACTGTTTGTCTCATCGCTACCACGGGATTAACGAGAGCCCCGCCGTTGTTCTCGTCGTTCCGGTTAAAGCCTATACCGTTCAGCAAAACTCTTCGTTCACTGCCACTCATTTTGGCCAAACTATCCACCAGTCGATCGGCCGAAGTGTTGGCCGCCGGACACGACTCGTTGGACGCAATGTTTCTCATGTTGTCATTCGTCAAAGCGGTCACCGATTTGGCCACAATTGGGGTCACATTTGGTGTCAATTGTGGCATCAATTTTGGGACCAAATCTGAGTCTAAATCCAAGGACTGGTCAGCAGTGGCCGAGTCGGACAACCCGTCACTCTGTGCCCCGTCTGACAAGTGGTCACTCGTATGAAAACTGGTCTCAAGAAGTGCCTGTCGTTCGCGGTTTCGTTGGATAAGTGATTAAAAATATGTGTTAATTTTGAGACAATACAAGACATTAATGTCGGCATTAGATCAACAAATGAGTGGTAAAACAAGTGTCAAAAGCGGACAAACCTCAGTGAATGAGTCGAGCTCTTCGTAATCGTCCATCGGATCAGTTAATAGTGATGTGAAGACAATTACAAAATGGATGAATGAATGAGTGAATCGTAAAGTAAATTCAATTCAATGTCTTTTATTACAAGAAATTTTCAAATATAAAACTGAAGTAAAAAACAATTTGAATGAAAGAGTCGAAAGACACTAATCAGTGGTTCTCGTCGTTCTGATCGATCAGAAACTCTTGAATTGACTTTTTGTTAACTTTTTTAAGTAAGAGTTTAGGAAATTTATTCTCTATTGAAGTCATTTCATTGGCTATAAGACTACAACCATAGCAAAGGTGTGCATTATTTGCACTATTATTAGACTCTTCAATGATATCATAGTTTGAATTATTTGATAGGTTTTGTGTCAAACGCAACGATTCAAGTGCTGAACATTTTGGACGATCTGTTGTGTCGATTGAAGTCTA